ACAGTTTTAAACAGAAATGTTGGCATCAAGCAACCCAGAAAAATCAGATTCTGTGCTTTTTGATTTGTATAATGAATTGAGTGATAATCTTAACTATATATTTGAGAAATAATTTGCAGCTTGATGCTAATTATCCCTAAATTGGATTCAGTATTAAAAAAGGTTTAATAATAATATCTAAAGCTGCTCTTTTTTTCTTTCCACAGCGTGAATGTATCTCCATCCATGTTGGCCAGGCTGGTGTCCAGATGGGCAACACCTGCTGGGAACTGTACTGCCTGGAGCACGGCATCCAGCCTGACGGCCACATGCCCAACAAGCAGCCCAGTGGGGGCCATGACGACTCCTTCACCACCTTCTTCAGTGATACTGGCTCTGGGAAGTATGTCCCCAGAGCTATCTTTGTCGACCTGGAGCCTACGGTTATTGGTGCGAAATTTCTTTAAGCTTTGGGGCAAAACAGCAGCAACTGTTTCGTGTTCTTTAATAAAGTGGTGGCAGAGTAGCTTGACTTAAGAGTCAACATTTCAAAAGGTTAGATAGAAGAAAGCAACAATGTCTATAGAGCTATAAAGATTAAACTGGTTGATCCTTAAGCATATTATCTCAAAGTTCCAAGGTTATCAGTGTCATAACTCTGAATGCTTCTGAATAAAAGCTTTGCTATTTATATGAATTTATATTTTGACCAAAGTTCAATTCAAGCCACTGAAATCTGCAAGTCAAATTTCCACTGTGTCTCCACCCACTTCAGTTTAGATCAGCCAAGATTTAACTCTGCAAATGACTAGTTGAGCGCAGACAGACAAACTTAACAACAGCAGTACACCACTTAAATATTCCAGTGTCAGGGTCCAGTTCAATTATGTAGCACCAGTCACACAAAGCATCACAATAAAAGATGAGAGCAAGACATAAGTATTGTGCATATTGGCTTGCTTAGTTTACATGCACATTATTAAATATTCTTCCTGACATTTATGATAATCTGACTCCCACATCTCCAGGTTCAAATATCCTTAGTAATCAGGGAGACGCCCAGTGTTTTCAAAAAGCAACGCATATCAGTTCCCTGTCAAGAAGTCTTAACATGCTATCTCCGTCTCTTTTAGATGAGGTTCGTACAGGCAAATACCGTCAGCTTTTCCACCCCGAGCAGATGATCTCTGGAAAGGAGGATGCCGCCAACAACTACGCTCGTGGTCACTACACCATTGGAAAGGAGCACATTGACAATGTACTTGACAGAATCCGCAAACTGGTAAGAAGAGCTACAAGAAGACTTTGGGTGTATAGGGCTACAAAAATCACTGCTAATGAGAAGCCAGGCTTTAGAGCACTTTTACATTAGTCACTTACAAAAGTAAATTGTACCCTTCTTGTTCAGTCCGACCAGTGTACAGGGCTCCAAGGTTTCCTGGTCTTCCACTCATTCGGAGGAGGCACCGGCTCTGGCTTCACTTCTCTGCTGATGGAGCGGCTCTCAGTAGACTTTGGAAAGAAGTCCAAACTGGAGTTTGCCATCTACCCAGCTCCTCAGGTGTCTACAGCTGTGGTGGAGCCCTACAACTCCATCCTGACCACCCACACCACCCTGGAGCACTCTGATTGTGCCTTCATGGTGGACAATGAAGCCATTTATGACATCTGTCGCAGGAATTTGGACATTGAACGTCCATCTTACACCAACCTAAATCGCCTCATCAGCCAGATTGTATCCTCCATCACTGCCTCCCTGCGCTTCGATGGTGCCTTGAATGTGGACTTGACAGAATTCCAGACCAACTTGGTGCCCTACCCTCGCATCCACTTCCCTCTGGCCACCTACGCCCCTGTTATCTCAACAGAGAAAGCCTATCATGAGCAGCTCACTGTGGCTGAAATCACCAACTCCTGCTTCGAGCCAGCCAATCAGATGGTCAAATGTGACCCTCGGCATGGCAAGTACATGGCCTGCTGTCTGCTGTACCGTGGTGACGTGATGCCCAAAGATGTCAACGTGGCGATCAGCAACATCAAAACCAAACGCTCCATTCAGTTTGTGGACTGGTGTCCCACAGGCTTCAAGGTAGGAATCAATTACCAGCCTCCCACTGTGGTCCCCGGAGGAGACCTGGCCAAGGTGCAGAGGGCCTTGTGCATGTTGAGCAACACCACCGCCATCGCCGAGGCCTGGGCTCGACTTGACCACAAGTTTGACCTCATGTACGCCAAGAGGGCCTTTGTCCACTGGTATGTTGGAGAGGGGATGGAAGAGGGAGAGTTCTCAGAGGCCAGAGAAGACATGGCTGCCCTGGAGAAGGATTACGAAGAGGTCGGTGTCGACTCATTTGAAGACGAAGAAGAAGAGGGGGATGAGTATTAAAACATCAGAGCAGACCTCGAGCAATCATTTTAAATGTATGACTGCCATTGATGCAGATCTTCTCTAGAAGCAATGAGTGTTTGTCTAGTTGAACAGCTGGTTTGCAGACCAATAATAAACACCGATGCTACTGCTGAGCAGCAGATTGTTCAAGTTTGATCCCATGGTGTTTTTTTTTATTGAAACATTATTCTCCAGTGAGAGAAAAGGGTTTTACCTTCTTTAGAAACATTATTCTCCAGTGAGAGAAAAGGGTTTTTTACCTTTTGTAAATAAAGCTGTGTACACCTATCTCAAGCAAAGACCAAACTGCCAGTGTTATTCTTTGAAGTCTTTGGCACAAAGTTAAGTTAAAATGATCTATAAGTACAGTTATTAGCCTAATATTTGGCTTTGAAAATGTGTTTGGAAACATTTAAAGTTGTGCTGATCATTCTTTATGAATCTGATGATTTTCTCTTTAATGAATCATTTACTGCCAAGGTGGTGACAGCTTGGTCCAGCAAACCAAAACCTAAAGATTTTTTGTTTACTAAGGTATAAAAAAAAATATCAGCAGCAAATTTTCATATTTAAAAAGCTAAAACAATGTTTGGCCTTTTTTGCTCACTAAAGCATATAAGCCTATCAATATTATAAATGGTATCTGCCAGTAACTTGAATGTTTGTTTCAGTACTAGTCCAACACCTTGCTCTTTAATATTTCAATTGTCAGGTAAAACTCTGTGGAAGTTTAACAGAGCTCACTGAGACACACCGATTTAATGAGGATGTCCTGTAACAGTCATAAGTATAGATACATGTCCTGATGTAGCTCAGACATTTTGTCTTTAATTTCCATGTAGTGAAAACATACTTAGGATCAGCCGACAGGCGACAAACCACACATTCAGGAGTGCCTGAAATTAATGCAAATTAATCTAGAAGCATGGCAGTCAACTGTAAAGAAAATGGACATAATGTGATGTTATTTTGATTTCTGCCTGAAATTATTTAAGGATGCCCCTAAGCATATTCACCTTCTGCCTGTTGATCACTGTTGGCATCACAGCCACGTGGTATGTCACAGCAAAGCTACGTTATGTATTTGGGTGAACTGTGGTTTTTGTACCACAAGAGGGCACTGTGGTGTCACAGAGGAACCGAAACCTTTCCATCTATTGAAATACTTCAAAACACTAGAACCAGATTTAATACCAACTGTGCACTGAGGCGCACTGCATACACAGTATTCAGACACAAACTCTCATCTACATGGTCAAAAGTATATGGACAGTCCTCACCAAAATAAACAACACGTGTGCTTTTGGCCTGGGGCTGTTATTAGTCTGGGTTATGCCCCTTTAGTATTCGTTTAATAAAAATAGCTCAATTTTATTTGTCCTGTGATTATTAATTAGTGCTGTTAGAAAACAAGCATAAACCAGGTTAAAAACTAAGGTGGAAAATTGTTTTGTTACAGCAGAAAATGGAAAAGTGACATTTCCTCCTTTTCCATTTTCTGCACAGAACCACCAGAGACAGACCCATTTCCCAGTTCAGGTCTTAACTCATGATTTCTGAAGTTACGTTTCCCTCCCTTCCTCAGTGGACGAGGCCTTTATGTTGGCTCCATAATTACTTTTATGTAATTAAGGCTCAACTTAAGCAGCGCTAAGGCAATGTGGACAGGGGATTTATGAAGGTCATGAATGACAGAGAAAGACAAATGCTCTTTTCCATTCTATTTCACAAGTACAGCAGGTTTTTCTGCTATGTTTTCTTTTTATTTGTGGTGAAATAACATGATGGCAAGGCTCCGTCAAAGTGCCAACAGGGTTTCATGCTGCAACACAAACACAGTCACACCTACTCTAAGGTGCTTAGATCAGAGTAGAACTATAGAATGGTCAGGGCAGACTGCTGAATGATAATGGAGCAGTGGATGGATAAAGCATTGCATAATAGAACTGACCATTTATAGTAAATGGTTTTATAATTAGATTGGGTGGATATGACTCAGCTCTCAAGCCGCAACAAGGATTGTGCTGAGAGAACCACCCCCCCCTTAACAAAAATATACATGAATATGAGGTCTTCACAAAGTCAACAGTGCCAGATGCTGAGTATACAAAGTGGAGGTTGGGGTGTTGGAGGGAGCTACAGCAGCAAACACTCCTCTTTACACCTCCGAGGGTCTCCCACCCCCCACACCACCCCTCCTGAGACAAAGATCCACAGTGATGTGAAAACTGTTCAGCGAGCAGAAAAGCAGGAAAGCGGCTGGACCGGACAACCTGTCACCTTTACTTTAAAGCACAGCACCGAACAGTCACTGCAACACCGTCCACCCTGCCTGCTTCAAATCCTCCGCCACAGTCCAAGGATTACAGTGCTCAGTAACTACAGGGCCCTTTGGCCATGAAGGTTTTTAAAGACCCATCATCTCCCACCTAAAAACAATCACTGGCCACCTCGTGTAGGCCTGCACTTCATCCTCCAGCACCTGGGCAGCCGGGGAACCCGCACCAGGATCCTGCTGACTTTAATATGCTCAGTATCAGTGTTTTTTTAGCTGCCATTTTCTTTATTTTCTTCAAAGTGACTTTATTTTATTCTCAGAGTCCAAGGACTTCATCGGGACTACACTGTTAGGGTATTTGATTGTGTGCTTGTACAGTGATAACACATTGCACGTCGTGATAACATTTCAGATGCCTAAATACTCTCACAGTCAAAAAACAAGACTCAAAAATGCCTTGTTCATTGTTCTTTAATATTAAAACAGCTGAAAAATACAGTAAGCTTCTGTTAATTCCTCCCACACTTACAATGCCACCCACCCAGAAGAAAAGTTAAACACACGGGCAGCAGCAGCAGGTAAATGCAGGATGATGTTTGCATCAGGACGCAAAGAGCTCCATGCTTCATGTTTAAATTAATTATGAGAGCATAGCTGTCTCCAAGGCTACCAAAGATGTCGGCATGGCAACCGATTGCTTTAGGGGATATCACAATTCATACCAGTGCCTGTTGTATGATGGCATCATTGTTTTTTATGTTTAAAATGTTATGCGAAAATGAAACCCCAGACAGTGAACACTCACTGTCTCCTCATATTTAAAAGCTGCAGCAGCACCCAAGACGTACAGTACATCACTGTGATTAAAGGAATTGGTGTGCAGCCAGCAGTAATTGTCTGATTCACTCATACCCATAATCACAGTGAATAACGCTCTCAGGCTCGGAGCTGCCATAACCCTTATGATACCTTTTATTGCAATACTTTATGGATAAGACTATAACCTGGAGTATTTCCACACTGTTTGATACAACACAAACGCATTTCAAGCAACTGGAAATACACAAATTGGGCTCCAAAGTGAAAAGCAAGTGCTCTTGAAATAGTAAGAGAATTTTTAATTAATAAATTAGGACAGTAATTTCAATGTATAAAACAAAAATAATATTACTCTTACTAAACAGTAAGTGGTTTTGTCATCCAACAATTTAAAGGGACACTAGATATTTTAAAACAATTCAGGCAACCAACAGAAATGAGAAAAACACAAATAAATCCTCTGCCCCACTAACAGTGGCCTGAAACTATCAAAGCATCACAAATGAGTACATTACAGCAGAAATTAGCCAACGGAGTGTGATAAAAAGATCCTAAAACAAAGTTTTATACACTGATTTAGCAATACTGCTGTGTACAAGCTTGATAACTACAAATCTGCAGCCATATTTGAAAATCAGTTAAGCTGCTCCACATACAGTAAATATACAATGGTTGATATGACAAAACCCAAGAAAGACATTTTCCCTAAGAGGCTATTTGGCCATGATGAGTCAGTCATGTTTGATCAGAAGAGGGAAACAAAGCTGCCATAAGAGTAACAATATGTCCCAAAACTGCTTGATGCCAGGCTCTGTCACACTTTAAAACAACTTTTTCCAGTGTAAGTTTCACAAAACCAATGACATCTGTGCATTTTCAGACTGATGTCATCTGCATCAAAATTAAAACTTTTAGTGCTTTGAGAAAGAGTTTGTAAATAACACAGTAGGTTTTTAAAAAAATCCATTCATCATACAGCCAAAGGAAAAACATACTAACAAGTTTCAACCCAGCAACCATGGATGGATTACAGCACAGGCTGCCTGGGCACAGGCCCAAGGCCAAAAGGGTCAGGAGGCCCCTGGGGCCCACCTGCAAAATATCCCAAAAAGAGAGCAAAAATGGCCAAAATGAGACACAGAACAACAACAAAAGATGCAAAAATGACTAAAAAGAAACACAAAATGTCCACCAAGACACTAAACAACTGCAAGGAAATGCAGAATGACTATAAAGACATGCAAAGCATCCTACAAGATAACAACAACAAAAACCTTAAAAATACAAACAAACTGTGTCCGTTTCAGTCTTCGTGCCTTGCTGCTATGTTGAACGGTGGGGAGGTCTTTTACAAGTCTACGGTCATTGTGTCATAATCCATCCATGACATCAACAGAACATCTCTGCTAGGATCTGCAACACTAAAGTCCAACTCTGTTGTCCACAGCAGAAGATCAAGCACAATTAATAGATGGTCTAACAATACTTTGTTGGGTTATAAAATCATGCTACACAAGACAAGGTGAAAAAGCTGAAAATGACATCATGATACTTGCTATCAGGGCTGAATATGAGAGATTTATTCTGCTGAGGTGATGAGCTATAGAAACTAGTCTGATATGTTTCAGGAGAAGCTTGTTGTGTCCATCAAACATTGTGCTACGGGTAGAAAACACAAACACTCACACACTCAGCCTACCAGGGGCACGTGTGCTCAGAAACACACAGACACACGTAGTTGTGGAACACGGGCCAGTAATCACCCTCTCACTCATCACTTCGTTGCTGGTCGAGTAACGATGATGCGTCAAGCAGACAACCTTTAAAATATCCAATTAGGGAGTGAGTCAGCTGAATCTGGCTGCGTCTTGACAGGAAGTGTCCTTCATCTGGATAAATCTGTCCCAAACAACAGGAGACACAATCAGATTTTTGCAATTTTAATGTTTTCTGAACAATAAATTCAAATACAGTACACCTTGAAATGTGCACTTCTCTAACAGTTTCTAAGGAAAAGAGTAAGTCAGGTATAAAGCTTGACCACTTCTTTCACTCAAGATCCACTTACGTGATTGTTCAGGAGCTTGTGACTATTCAAACTCAAAACCTTATTGTCTATCACATAAATACAAAAAAGTTAGAGGCTCATAAGACACAACAATGGAAGACTCACATAAAAGGTACTGTACATGAAACACGATTAAATAAGGTCTGACAGTGGAGTCTGAAAGGTGCCAGTGATTTTGGTTGCAACACTTGACAATTTGTTTAAATTTTGTTTTCTCTGTGAGGAAAATGTCCCAGGACACACCGCTGAATGTGAGGACTGATCTGATGAGTGACTGCTACACTGCTGTCTGACAGTAAAACCTTTCAGTCTCCTCAGGAGAAACATGCGCTGTTAGGCCTTGTTGTACTGTAGACCCTGTAAACATGTGTGAAGGACAGGTGGTGCTCACTTGTCGTCAGCATATTTAAAAAGCGACAGCCCGTTACTATATGGAGAAGAGGATGGGCAACAGGACAGACCGCTGGGACCCCAGTATTTAAAACAATCTTATATCACACATTATGTCCATCAGCAGATGAAGTTCACTTGGTTGGAATGACAACATTTTAACATCTACACTGCCCTGACAACTAAGCATAGTTTTTCTGGAGAGGAAGACCATATGATGTGGAGAAAAGCTCCAGAACAAGCACAAAAATGGACCCTGAGTGGAGGTTCTCTTTGTCAAACCCCAGTTTCCATTAAAGAAAAATCTCTAATTATACTTTCTGTACTTTTACAGGTGATGTTGCTTTTAAGAATGACATTTTTCCTTATGAAAGTGTACTTACCTGCATAGTGTAGTTGGCTCCGATCTTTATTAGATGCTTGATGAGCTCTGCCGAGTGCCCGAAGTGAATATTTGCTGTGGAGAAAACAAGACATGCAAATAAGTGTCAGCGGGGTTAATTTCACTGCTGGATAAAAGCTCTCATCAAAGTCAAGTGTTAGTGCTGTGGCTCATGGAGCGGCTCATCACAACAGGACAAACACTGGCTGAGGGGACTCGCGCCTACATTCATTAACACACATTACACCAAAAATGATCTTATTTAGTGGTTTACAATGAAAGCAGTCAGGAAAGTGGAGGAAACGTGTGTACCGTCAGCAGTCCCATGAGCTAAAAACAGACTTCCTCCCTGCAGACCTTTCATGTTGGGCAGAACTTTGGAGGCCTGGAAACACAAATAAAGACAAGTTATTTAAACTGAGAGCATCGTTCACTAAAGCTGATGAAGAGCAGTTTGATAAGTGAAGATCAGCAGTGGAAGAAGCTGTCAGGTGATTTTAAATAAAAGTACAGAAACGTGGACCCTGTATCTGATATATCATTATATATAATTAATACTGATGTAACAATGTATAGATGCCCAGTTAGTAGGTAGTTTAGTCCAGTGGATCTCACCACACAATCTAAAGGGTCATGCAAAGACAAAATATCAGCAACAACACATCTTGTATTTTTGTATTTTCAGGGGAGTGTAGCAGCTATACTAGAGAATATCTGTCACTCTTATACCTGGGATTCAAACAGGAAGATTTTCCAGTCACAGCGAGTCGTTGCCCATGAATAACCGAACATTTTATAACCCATTTCTTTCTCTGCATCTGCGTCTCAGAGGACCCAGTGAGTGATGATGCCCCGCCGAGTATTGTCTGATCGGATAGTGCCACATTCCCCTTCTTGGGTGTCATTTAAAACAGACGCCCCCTCCTGCTGTGACAGTCACAAAAATAGCGTCCTCTGACCCAGTTATAGCCAACCCACTTAGCAGGAAACACACACACTGACTCCAACCTTCACTTGAAGGGCAATTGTCTTATTTTCTTTTAGCCTACACCTCTGGCACTGTCCTGTTTTTCATGTTTGCATGTTTTTCTTGTCCTCACTGTTGGAAAGGACAAGACTTGGAGCAATGCCTGAAGTGCTGGTGGCTACATTTTGTTCTGTATTTAACAGACGGGCACTAGTTTGTTTGGGGAGTGAGCCACAGCAGAGCAAAGCAAGTCATATGACTTCTACCTGGACAAGAGAAAAGAGATTCTGTGAAAAGAAAATGGATAAACAAGTGCATTGTTGTAGTTTTTTAGTGAATGTGTCTGCATTAAAATCAGTGAGTGTCTAGAAATAAACATTTTACAGTTCAGTTTTCAGACATTACCAGTTTACAGTGCAGGCTGCTCTGACAAGAGACACAATCAAGCTGTGGTGGAAAGTAACAACGTACATCGACTCTAGTTGTGCTTGAGTCATGACACTTGACGGCACTTGTACTTTAGCTTCACCACATTTCATATTGTACTTTTTTACTCCACAGCAGTTGATGTGAAACATTCAGTTACTTTACAAATCAAGATTTTTAAAAACAAAACATGAAGAACTTATAAAATATCAGGCTTTGTAATAAATGTAACTACCCAACACCATATGAAAGTAGAACTGAAGCAATTATCTGATCAGTTGATTAATCATTTGACAGAAAACTAATGGCAACTATTTAGGTTTTTTTTTATTATTATATTCACTGAAATTTATTTTCAATCCTACTATTTTGATTTTTGTTTTACAGACTAATCAATCAGTCAATTAATTCATTCATTCAGATAATAGTAATCTGATCAGCACCACCTCAGCCAACTACAACAGCAAAAATAAAGAACAAAAACAAACAAACCAGCCACTTTTCTGTACTCAGTACTTTTATATTTATTATCTTCAGAACATTTCCGGACTATTTTTACATACTTCTACTAAAGTAACATTTTCAGTTCAGGACCTTTACTTATAATAGAATACTGTTTTAGTGTGGTATGTGTACTTTTACTTAGGTAAACAACATTTCCTCCTCCACCGTACTGACACACATGCTACTGAGGCCCACACCACACTACAGTCTACACAGGGGGGCAAAACAAGCAGGCATCCTGCTTAATGTCTAGTCTTGTACACAAGACTGAGCAGAAAACTAAAGGACAAGGGGGAAAAACACTGGAGGAGTAAAATGCCAAGAATACTAAAATATACACCGATCAGGCATAACATTATGACCACATTACATCTGTATGCACTTCAATGCAACACTTCCACCTTAACATCTGTGTTTATGAAACTCAAAGTGTTTCAGTTTTTGGTGAAATTGTCATAAATGTAGAAATTCAATTACATGTTCATTATTGAGGTCATAGTTAAAGGTGGTGTTGTACTGGACTACATTAACTTCAGAGGCGTCTGTATATTTTTGTCCTGCCCATTGACATACATGAGAGGATCAAAATATTAGGAACACCTGCAGGATGCAGGATTTATTTAAGATTCAAAAATTAGATTGGCTGTCAGGATTTATTTAAGATTCAAAAATTAGATTGGCTGTCAGCTGTGAAACCCATCCACACACACTGAAGTTTTACTCTTGAATCTGCACTAGATTTTTTGCGTGTGGTTGCTGAGAAAAGATAAGATTTGTTGCATTAAAAAAAAACCTCAGTAACAAATGGATGACTGATAAAAGCAGCTCACTTGGTATCTGTTCTCCTCGGTGGAAGGCAAACCAAAGTATCGCTCTGAAAACGCAGAGGCTGCAGGTGAGAAAGAGCAGAAAGCAAGCAGGTTATGTACAGTACGTGATGCAAGCAAAAAGTGAACATTTATGGAAAGAAAACATATATTGGAGCTACAAAAGATTTCTTCTTTAAACTTTTAACAAATCTAGACAGAGATTTTTGCAAACAAATCTCTCAACATATGCACAGGGTGTTCAAAATGGCTGCTTTTAGCATCCACAACAGGCTGAATCCTTATTATGTTTTCCTTGAAACAGCAGAACCAGAGGATTTACAGACACACTTGAGTCTATTAAACTATGATCACATACAGCAGTAGCTCCTCAGCTAGACAGGCGCCATAATACTGGGTCAGAGCTCCCAGAAATGAAAAAAAACACTTCATCCTAAAATCCAATAAGCCTGAATTCCCAAAAGCAGAACCCAAGGATAATTAAAGTCACATAACCCAGACAATACATATGAAAAAGATCATGTAGGATAAAGATGTCGTGAATAAGAAAAAAAATGAGAGTCAGCTTTTCAGCAGAAGTAATAAATATTTCCGTGTCTAAGAAGTTTATGATGATATTCATTCGACTTCTCGCTCACCGTACATGGTCCAGTCAATGACAGGAGCCTGAGCTGCAGCGCATCTGATCAGCCTCTCTGTCGACTTCAGCATCATCAGTGTGAGGAAGCCACCGTAGTCCTGATGGAGACACATTCAACTTGGTTCACCACCTACCCCCTGACGAGCTCTGTTCACAGTACACTCATATATCCTTTATAGCTGAAAACAAGTGTGTTTGCATGCACTCTAGTGCCCTCATTGTGGTCAGGGTGCAGGTGTTTGGTTGCAGAAACCTGGTTTCTGAAACCTGGAAGTACAGTTTCCAGTTAGAAACCAGGGCACTGTGGCATGTAAACACCCGTTCATCTCTTAGCTTTTTCAGTTACTGGTTTCTTCTCGCCATTGCATAGATTTGGTGTGAAAGCTTTGTCACCTCACTGTGCAGTGTGTGCAGGAGTAATGAGTCCCCTAAAAATAGATAAAGATAAATGATATAACAGTACATACTGAAATAAAAGCCTTACATCGACAGTGCAGGAGAGCTCACATGTTCCATTGGTAAAGGTTGGATGGAGAGGCTGAGCCAGTCAGTGAAGACATGGGATGAATAATCTTTCATGTATCCTGACTATGATCAAACTCAGGATCAGGATTAACATTAGGACACTAGTGAGCATGTAAACACACTCATATAGACAGAGTGACTATACTTTTTAAAGCAGGCTAAGAAATATTCCTATTATTGTCACACATTTTAAAGTTCTCATCATTATGTATGGCATCATAAATCATTATGTAATAGTCAGATGGTTTAGGTAAGTCTAACTGAGCACTTGAACCACAAAGCCATCACAGACTGATCGAGCCTGCTTAAAAATCCTGGTGGAAGTGCCGATTAATTCACAGGCTGACAGACGAACCTTTCCAAAAACTCCAACACGAGTGTGATCAATGAATGGCAGCTTCAGTAGGTATCTGAAAAGCACATGGGAAATGCTTTAATACAAGTGGACTTTGTATTGGAAAGGATCAGGGGAACCTACACTTCTACATTTTACACATTCAACTGCATTTCACGCTAAATCCAAAGCAAGTGAGAAGCTTCACATAAAGGACCAACAGTGAGGGGGTCAAAGCGCAAAGCTGCAGAGATTCACTGACAATGCTACTGTGATGCCTCGACTGATCGTGTGGGAGAGCTGCTGAGACGAGAACAGAGAAAACCAGGGGAGAAAGGATTTCTGAAGCACATCACCCTGGAACCATGTGTCTCATAAAAACATGCGTTTTTAAAAACAGCAGATTTGCACCTATACGAGCGCAGACGGGACAATAATTTTTTATGTTTGCTGTGAAAATGATTTAAGTCTTAGGAAAAAAGATTACGTTACTTTGAATACACTTGACAATCAGGTGGGTCCATTTCTACACAGACACATTCACTAAACTTTGTTTTACTATTCTGCAGACTAAATTCATTGCCCATGCTCACTACAACTTGACAAACTGAATCCAAAGTTTCTACACTAGTTCTGTTTCAAAACTCTTTCTTCAGACTTGTTTAAATGTATTAAAGTTATTATGAAAAATAACATGTGAGGACATGTTTTAAACCAGATAAAAACCAGCATAATAACACCGCTGGGGTTTTTTTTACATTTCAGAAAGGTTTTGTGTGCAATTTGCAAACTTTTTAACGCTGACATGAATTACTACCTTGTTTTCCTCCATGACCTGTCAGACCACAGAAATCCTCCCAACTTGGCTCTTTAAGTGCAGTGCATAATCCTGTCTGTAAATATTTTTAATTTATGATCATGAACCTCAATTTTTGGGTCAACTAAATAAAAAAGTACAAAAACAGAAAGACACACCTCTGTGCTTGTGGAAATATGCATTAGGTAAAAGGCAGAAGTGTCTTTTATTGTGCTTTGGGACAATCTGAACTGCTAATGGAATAAACCGACTCACATGCCTACTATTATTCACAATAATGCTAATGTTTTATATTAGTTTTTTTTTTCTATTCTTGCATCATGTTGTACTCCATCTAAATAAAACCTCCTTCAAATGCAGCTGTTTTCACTACACCATTTTCCCACAAAGTCATTCAAAGACACTGCCTCTGAAATTCTAACAGCTTCACAGGTGGTCACAAATCTTTCTTCACAGAAAAACACCTTCTTTCCAGTACACATTGGACAAAAGGATGCAGACGTGCACTACATACTCCAGAGCTGTGATCTGGTCCTCTGCATCTACGGTGCCAAGTCTCTGATGGACCTGCTGTAAAACCCTGTGAAGTGGCAAAGATATAAAAGGTCATGGACAGAAACGACTACCTGAGTGTGGTCGCAGTCTGACCTGCAGGTGCTGGGGACAAATTGTAATATACTGTAGTCTAAGGCTGTAAGTTTGTTTTTTTTTTTAGCACAAAAGATCAGTCACCTCAGCTGCTGTGCATCAGTAAAAGTATTCAGTGACATTTAAAACTGTCCATAACAAAGTAACTACAACAGTACCTTTGACCTCTGAAGCCTGAGCCTCTCCCGTCGAGTTGTGCCACGATGACCTGCTCAGTTCCCACCAACACCCAGTCCCAGTCCAACCTGAACTCTTCTGTCACCGCCTGATCACCCAGAGAACTGCCGCTGTCAAGAAAGACCCTAAATCACTATTATACTGACATTTACTGATGCAGCTTTATTTATGCTTCTTTCTTGGTTGTCTTGGGTTTAAATAAAGATGTTTTCAATCACTTTTTTGTAACTGTGAAGCGCTTTGTAACCTTGGTTTAGAAAAAGAGTTATAAAAAAAAGGTTCTCCTTTACATCAACAATAAAAAGGTGAGTGTTTTTTAGTGTGCACATGGTAAAGCTACAGTAAGCACTGATGTGAAGCTTTCACTTAAGGGTTTATTTCTGGCTGAGCGAATAGTGCCAGCACAGGTATTGGTTTTCTAGCAAACCCCTGTACAAACATGTACTTGTAGTAGAAAATGCCATGATGCACATTTACAATAATGCAAAGGTTTATGATAATATAGCAGTTTGAACTCAAAGAAAAAGAAGTCCTGTGTGACATTACTGAAACTAATCTGCATGCAGAATATATTATAAGACATTCAAATTGTAGCTACAATGTGAAAATGTTATGCTAAATTAACATTGTCTCACCCAACATATTTATTAGTACATTTGAGTTGTCAAGTATATCTGTTTATAGAGTAACGCGTTTCACCTTCAGCTGTCCTCGCTGAATTTGGCTTTTGAAGCTCACATTGCTGCAGCAAGCGTAAGTGAGAAAAATATAAATGTAATTGCACAGTGTAGGCTTACACAACAAGGAGAAGGCCATAGAGGTAGGACTCAGAGAAATCATGAGGATAGATGAGCTTCAGAGGCAGCTCTGTGAGAGAAGAGACTGAGACATTAGTTGAAGGAGAGGCAGCCTTGAGAAGGACAAACAAAGGTGGTGAGGACAGTGGCCAGGCACAAATACACAACCAGGAAGACAGGCACAAACACACACACACACACAGCCTCATGCCATTCTCCCTCTAAGTAACTCGCTTATCTCCCCAAGGTCTCACATTAACACAGCTGTAAAGTGCAGCTAATTTGTACCAAAGTCGTCGTTAGTGATCATCCGGATGTCAGCCTTAACCCTCCTTGTGGTCTCCAGCGCAGACCGCAGAGGGAGGTTGTTCTCCAAGATGAAATATGCTGTGAAATCACAAATTAGAAGTTTGCACTGCAAAGCTGTTAAAGTGCTCCTGCCTCTTGGCAAGCATTCCAGGTTGTTTGGTGCCTACACAAAGTTATATTTATATATCTAAGTAGAAAAACATAGTTATTTATTAGCCATAAAGGAGAACCTTTGTAGAATAAAAGAACGTCAGAGCTCCTGCAATATGTGTTCTCTTCCTCTGGTCCATACATTCTTTTCATTATTGATTCAACTAATTGTTTTCTTGGCTTATCAGTTAGTCATCTGTTAAATGGTGAAAAATGTCCACAACAATCCCAAATCCATGATGGCATGTTCAGATGTTCCCAAAGATATTCAGCTTAATATCAGAGAAAACAAAGGAAACCAGAATATGTTCACATTTGAGAACCTGGATCCAGACAGTTATGGCATGGCTTCAAAACAGTGAACCAGTTATCAAAATAGCTGCAGATTGATTTTTTTAATGATTGACTAATTGATTAATTGGCTCATTGTTGCAGCTTTAGTATTATACAGTATACGAGCAGAGCAGCACAAGCAGGGTCACCCTCAGCTGCAGCTCAAAATAACAGACACTAGTTATCATGTTAGCAGCGGCCAAATATTGAAGAAGAACGGTTGATATTTATTCTCACTCTTTCCTGCTTTCTCTTGGTGTAGAAGCAAAGGTGAGGTCATGTAGACTACAGTTCATATAAAATATTCAGCACTTCATCCTGAAGCCATAACAGTGAAAAGTCATGACAGCATTTGCATATTGTAGCCACTAATCCACACACTAGGCTGGCTTCCTGTACATGTACCATTAACAAATAGTTTTTATACCTTGTTGTGTTCAACTTGTAGCTTAGTGTTATTATCCATGTCACATTACCTGAAGGGCAGAAGGTAAACAACTTAAATATATATATATTGTACTTCTTTTCACATCTTTTCCAGTTTGTATAAATGTTTAAGTATATGTTCCCTCCTAGCCGGTCATTCTCAGTGTGCACAGGAACTATTAGCCATCTTAGACATGAACAGTGGCCAGTGCAGTCTGGCACAGCGTCAAACCCAACAGCTGCTCATGTTTCATACAAATGAGATGATGGCACCTCCAGTAATTGCAGAAAAATATTTTCCATCTCAAAGCAGACATGAGCAGATGTGAACATCACACCAACACAAAATGGTTAGAAATACTCACAGTCCACATCATCAAAGCTTAGAAGCAGCACAGCTGGAACTCCAGGACCTGCAGCGAAAAATAAATATATTATTGGATGAATGAAACAGGGGCTTCTGATCAATTTCCATTCTGCTACAGGCTGCGTGTTGATAGATTAAGACAAACCTAAAATATCGGCTTATTTCAGGAGGTATTTTTCTAAACTTTCCAGAATAAAAAGGCTAAGTCAAAGAAAAAAAGAAAATAAGTTACACATTTATGGACCAAAAGTTTAACCAACAGTTGGAAAAGTTGCCTGCAGGTTGATCTATGAAAACAACTGTTAGTCACAGCCCTAACCCCTGCCCTGACCCCTCTGACCTTTACAGTGCAGGATGGCATGCTGTGCATCGGGGCTGATGTCTGCGTCAAAAAACGTGCACTTCTCCTTCAGTCCACAGGTTAGACACCGACGTGGAAACAGGCCGAGGGTCGACACACTGTTAGAGGGAAGATAACACAAAGAAGAGTGGAGAAAGACAGGTTGGAAAGGTGGGAAGAGTATTGGCCAAACCAATTTTAATATGGCTCTTCTTTGTGTGTGTGAGTCTTATTTTACCTGAATAAATGTCTCTGTTGTGCAGACTTCTCTGTGCTCAGAAAGTATCTGCAGAGGAAAGCAGAGCAGCTAAAGTAGGCCAAGGTCATGAATCATAATATTTCTGTGAATTAACACTGAGACGTACATGATCTCATTGTTTTCTTCGTAAGCTACGATTTTTGTCACCTCCCAGTCTCCTGACGTTAAGTGGTGGGCCTCGTCCTGGTCACTATGTAACTGAAGGAGAATCAGTTTGAAGGACTGAAAATACATCACAAATTCTTCAGAGATTCTGAGATTTTTTTTGTGAGTGAGTGAGATGAGAAGGAGAGCATCCTTTAGGAGTCACCTTTTTGGTGAACATTGTGATGTGGTGAAAATCTCCCTGACCTCCTTGTTTCACGGGCACCGTGAGAAAAAACCTGCTCCTGTCCTTGGAAAACAGTGGCTCCTGTGTCTGCAGAGACAAACACAGGCTTCACAGGCGACACACTTTATGCATGATGAGTTCAGCCTCAATAAGGGAACATATATTGCTGTGAGGATAATACAGCATGTACAGTGGCTGGTCATTTTGTTTATGTTAAGATCATTTGTTAGCTAAGGTCATTAGGTTTGAGTCAGGTATACCTGTCTGGAGAGCCATGTCTCTGAAGATTCCTCATGTCTCTGAATGAAAAGGAAGACAGTTTAATCCACCTTCTAAAATGCATGTTTTCTGGAAGTTATTCAGACATAAAACTGAGACAACATATGGAGCATGTGTTGAATAGCTACAGAGATTTTAAAGAACATCCAGCTGGATATTGTAGCTTGTTGTAATACAAACAATTTGGCAAATCACCTTGCCAAGGAGTCCAAAACAGTTATTTTCCTCTCCTCCCACGTCAGTGTAAACTTATTCATTCATGGCAGGAAAATACCACTGACTATATATAAAAACTGGACAAACCCATTGGTTTTCTGATGAGTGGTTTTGAAGCTCAAGTCTGGCTGTCACCATATTGGAAGTGCTTCACTAGCTCCTGCTACAGCTAATCCCAAAATGGGCAAACAAGGGGAGCATGAGTGGAGCTCGCTAAACAGCTAGCAGCTAGCCACCTGTGGCAGGACCCTCCCATCTGTCACCCCCTGTGCAGCTGTCATGGAAGGGGAATCGAGCTATAGAGTCCAGGCTGTGTTCCTGCTGTCAAGCCAGGTGTTTTAACATGGGAGTCTATGAGGACTGATTTTCTTTTGGAGCCAGCCTCAAGTGGCCTTTAGAGGAGGTTTTAACACTTTTGCATTGGCTTCATTTGTCCAGTTGCCGCTTATACCAACAGTATCTGCTAAAGCAGGTTTCTGGGGAAATTAATTAGTGACTAGATGCTTGAAAACACTCACAGTTGATATAGCTACACATTTGCAAGTGTTGCAAATCACATTAATACAATGGAGTGTAGCTGAAATATGACTGGATAAACTAAAAATAAGAGGGTCTGTAATTTGAGTTGTGTGTAACATTAGAGCTTTGTGGCACATTAGCAGTAAGCAGAGTGTTCTACTGGATTGCCAGATGTACTCATTAGTCAGTTATCGCTGGCTTTGGACTAGGGCTGCATGTTGTATAGTTTGTCATAACCAGGCATCCGTAGTTTACATCGTAGCTTGGAGACAGGGCGTGATGGAAAGAGCAAAGGGCAGTTAGAAGCAGCTTATGGTGCCAGTTTGATCTGAGTCTCACTAGACCCTCTAGCTTTAAATCAGAAACTCCCACCTGAAGACAGACTCCTATGGTAGTGTCACACACTGTCAGCAGTGAAGCGTTCTGGGGCCTGTTGAGCCACCGCACGGCGAGGTGAGTACTACTGATCCACTTCACCATGGTGACATAGAAATCCCTGCAGAGGAGATTCACGCAGGAGAATCAGACACAGGATGTTGTGTCAATATTGCATTGATGGGCAGGGTAGGGTAGGGTAGAACTTTATTGATCCCACAGTGGGGAAATTCAAAAACACAGTGTATTTAGGTGTGTGTGTTTGTTACCTCAGTCTGAGCTGATCTGGAGGCTGCAGTTCCTGAGTGTGTGTCGCTCCAAACAGGTTGACCACCGACAACTTGACAGCAGGGTTCGTTTGACCGGCCTGAAGGCGTAAAATTTCAGACAGACACATGTAGATCTGAAATATTCAGTTAAAATCAGACATTTTAGGTGGAAGAAACAGTTGATTATAGATGAGATGAAGCAGGTTTTCTTCTTTAATAGTAGGAAGAGGGTGGTTTAGTTCCTCTTTGAAGCCACTGAGAAAGGACCTGACATCCATTAGTGAACCTGATGATCCACACCACTACCACTACCAAAATGACCTTGAGGGTATTTCAGGAAGTAGGTCCTGCTGTACTGTGACAGCACATTTAATTTGGCACATTTTAAACAAACAGGTCCTGCTACAATAAGACATTTTCTCTAAAGTGCAATCAGTGAGAAAAATAAAATAAAATATACCAGCTGGCTGTAATTGTTTGAAGTAAACAATGTGTTTTAAATGCCTTTTTCATTTAATGCCATTTGGAAGCTGAACTGTAAAGACTGAAAGTTATTTATCAATTTGCTATAAGACTGACAAGATCATGGTGAAACATTAAAAACCAGGCCACCAACCAGGCAACATGAGTAAATATGCCAAGGTATAGGTACCAGATCCTAAAGGCACAGCAATGAACTTGGGGTAATTTGGTTATAGTGTTTGGTAATATTATGATCAGAATATAAACTGAAAGGACAGAGACATTTTGACCTAATCTTGTTTTCTGATACTGTAGTTTGGGCCTTTAATATTTCAGGTGACATTACATATGCTTACAAGGTGAACTGAATCCATCTGTGGACACTAAGACCGTTTCCCACAGTTCTGCAGCACCAATGTCCAGACTTACCATAGAATACGGGTACTGCAGTGCTCGGGGGTAGGTGCTGCCAGTGAACTGGGGCAGAGCCATGTTGGGCACCAGGGTGTCATTGACAGTGAGGAAAGCCAGTCTCTCTCCATCAGGCGACCACCAGTGAGCCAAGTGCGAATGCAGAATCTCTTCTGATATGACAAATACACAAATACAAACATTTGTGCTCCTTTTTCTGTCTTAATACCGAGTGATTGTTTTTTCTCAGTTTTTCTTCGTATTTTGACTCTATGAAGTTCAGACGTGCGGGGCCATCTGCAGTTTTTTTAATAATTACAAATGTGCTCATTTTCTGCAGCTTTAGTTCTGTTTTTGTTGCCTATTAATTTTTTTTTTTTTTCACTTTTGTGTGAGCTGTTTACACATGAGCTTCTACCGTCAAATGTGTCTTTGTAGATAACTTAAGACAAATTTATTCAAAAACACACTAAAAACACAATCTGGTGGAGAAAACACTGCTTCTGATTGTTCATATCAGCGCTGAAATAGGACTTTTAATAAGCCAGTAGTCTGCTGTTTCCTTCACTGTAAAAACCTCAACTAATCTAAAGTAAATGCAAAGAGTCACAGGTAATCTACAAACAGAAATGATTCTATCTGCTCCTGTCTATTTTTGAAATGCGCTGCTCTCTGTGCAAACTGGAAACACCACCACTACATTACTGAGTTTGTTTACACAGCAGCTTAGTAGATTATAGAGGCTTGCTGTTGATTTTTCATCTTCATTCTGCTTAATTTTGTCCAGTCTGCTCTGTCGCAATTTTATTGCAAATCTCTGAAACATTTAAACTGCTGAACTGAGGATGCGTCACATACCTGAAACTGTAGATCACAGAAACCTCCTTTTCTGTCCAAACTGGGACTTGATAGAGATTTTCCATCAGAATTTATAAACTTGTTCAGCAGTTATTATCATAAAGAGATTAAGATATACATCTGCAACACACTACTACTAACCCAGTCACTTAGATTTGCATTTTAATACCGATAGTCATAGAATGTTTCGGTCTAGACCAGTCTGCATGTCTTAAAACTGTATATTTTGGGTGTAACTGTAGACTCTAAACCGCTTCTCTGGTTATTAAACAACACACAGGACATGACGTTGGTGTCCTCAATAATACAGTCTTGGTATAGAACTGTAACCAGTACACACCTTCATACAACCAGTCGGCGAGTCCATTGAAGATGACTCCCTCCATCCCAGAGGAGGTGATCCTCAGGGAGTTACTCCTCACATCTGACTGGTAGTAGATGTTATTCTCAAAGATGTAGATCTGAAGTGAAAGAAAAGAGGATGAAGTTCAACACAATCCCATATTCTGACTTCATTAGACATGTTTCTTGCCATTTCTCTCCATGTCTATTACTCATAAGTATCAAACTAAGTTCAGCCTTTGCCTGTCCATTCAATTTGTTTTTCCTTTTTGATGTCCTTTTTTGTATTTTTATTTTAAATCCGCCGGTTTATCTCACCAGGCAGCTTTCATCAGTATTTTAATATTTGCATTTGGAAATACAAACAGGATCAGCCTGACATGCCCTGCATGTTCACCAATATTCCTAGTCCACCTGAATTTGTTTTTCTTCCGCTGAGCATTTATCCTTTTCTGCATTTATTTATTTTCCCCCGCTCTGTTCTCACTAGTTATTTGTCACACGTATTAGTCACACAGCAGCCCTTCAGAATTTATTCATATAGCTTAGCTGGGGTCCTGGAGCAACTGAAACTCAGCTCTATCATTGTGCTGTGAACCAACACTCATTCATCAGTTCAGTTTCACTAGTTATGACAAATCTTGTTCGTTTAGTAGATTAGGGTGTATGGGTCAGCACTGACGTCACACAGGAGTCTCTAGCTCATTATTAGACAATAATACCAATTCAGGTTTTTTCCATCTGAACACACAACCCCTGAGGGAACAGACATTGCGCTTACCACGATTCCTGTTCATTTTGCTTATTCTCAGCAGAAAAACTGGTCAGACAAGTATCTGTTGATTTTGAGATTTCAATCAAGCATCAAAAAGCTGAAGCAAAACTGGAATAAGGGTAATCACCTTTATTGGCCAAGTATGTTACACACAAGGAAACTGACATTGGCCAAGTGTGTTACACACAAGGAAACTGACGTGTGAAGAATCGGATTCTTGATAGGAAATGTGAAGAAAGCCGTATAATAGAGTGCCACTCATGCTTTCTCGGCTCAGCTAATAAATGTGAAGAAAGCCGTATAATAGAGTGTCACTCATGGGTCTGTTACAGAAGCCCTCACTGGTGTATGAGGCACCGCTACCGATTGTAATGTAAAGTATAAATTGTCCTGTTAGAATAAGGTCAGTTGAAAGGAGACAGACAAACAGACAGACACAGTATGGATGGGACCAGAACCTCTACTGTAAGAACAATCGCAACAGAGCAGCAGATCATCAGTGAAATGAGTCCCTGGAGGAGGACAATGGAATATGTAAGGACAGCGAGCAGAGCGAAAAATAATAGATGGAAGCCCCACTCAGCCTTACCAGCTGTTGTCCTTGTCGTCCCCATGCTGCATGTTGGAGCACTGCGTTCTGAACCTCTGGAGGGTTTAGCTCCCAAACCTCCCTGATAAACACACACAAGCACACATGCATGTATGAACAATAGCCATGTGTTACAGTGCCTCCACGTACACACATCAGAGAGCTGCATATAAAACATCAATGAGAAAACAGCAAGTAAAGGTTATATTGCTTACCTGGTGTAGATGTTGTAAATGATGTAGGACGCCATGTATGAATATCTGTACATCTGCAATCAGATTAAAACCACCATGTAATACAAACACAGATCTATCGCTGATACACCAAGGCCACATCAACCTCTTTAAGCCAAGAAAACAACAAGAAACTTAAGAAATCCATATGATGGAAACAAAGTTGCTGGAGCAGTTGATAACTAACAGCACTCCCACTCTGTCTGAGAACATCACACAGCATGTACGATATACTCCACATCAGCCTCCTCCAGTTCTCTAGAAAAGCTCGATGATGTTTGAATTAAATATTTAAACCCAGAATTCCATGTTTTAGAGTTTACTATGAATCTCTTTCAGTCTGACATATTTGGTATTTCCTTGACTGAAATCAAGTTTTTGGCCTAGACTCCCAGAAATTGAATCTATCCTTTCAACTTGTTTTCCTCACTGCCTGATGAACTGTGCTCGATGCCTCCTGCACAGCTGACTCCCCTTCATGCGTAGCGATGAACTAACTGAAAGAAATTCAATTAAGAGCAACTAAAAAACTCAGTCGGTGTTACTCGTATCTCAAGGGGACTTTGTTCTGGTAGCAAATAAAGCTGGAATGTAATCAATTTAGCCTTTAGATGCAGAAAAGAAGTGTGGTGAGATGTGAAAGAAAAGAATGTTGAAGAATGTGTTTCAAAACACACAGAAAGGTTTTTTTAAAAAGTGCATGTTTTTGGTATCAAAAACACACACCAAATATTGGGAAACAGGAAGCTGAAAAACACACGTCAAAGCTAACCTAACTACACCCGTTCAGTGTAGATGGTGCATTTTGTTTTCAGAGAGAAACAGTGCATGTTTATCTGCAGCACAGACCAATCACAATGTCCATGCTTCTGGGTCAGCCCCTGATTCCAAATGATCCAAAGCAGCAAAGATCATTTCTTTAATTCAAGTCAATCCCAATTTGTCGCTTTAAAGAACAGAAAGTAGCGCGGCACTTTTCAGAGAACAGAAGAAAACAACACTAGATAAAAACATCACAAACATGGAGATACAGAGCTGCAGTCTGTGTTGGTGTGTGGGTGTTTGTGCACATGAGTGGGAAACCCTCCCTTGGGTTTTGCACAGCAACACAATGTAAATGACAAAGGCAAAAGAAAAGAATGGCTGACAAGTTCCAGAATGATCAATGTCAATCACAGCCTGCGTGATTGTGAGAAGAACAGCGGTTACTGCATTTGTGTGTTGTTTAGGTGCTAGTGAGTTATTGTACTGGGCTGAGGATGCATTTTAATTTGAAACTCACCGGTTTGACATCGTAAGCAAAGAGTGCGTACTTCAGGTCTGCAGAGAGCGAGTACTTTGCCACCTTGAAAGCCACCTAACAAAATAATAATAATAAAAATAATTAGTTGAATAGAGGGAGATTCTTATTTGTTTTGGTGCCTGAAAGTGTCTCTTCTTTGATTTTGTTGTACTAATATGTTTCTAAAAGTCCTTTATTCATGTCTATAGCTATTTATCATTTTAATAGTGGATCTCACTCTTGTCTTTTTAGATCTTTCTGACAACACTGACTCCTTGATGACAGTTAAAGGCACGAAAACAACAGAAAATAGAAGAGCAGTTAGCAAGAGAACCAAGTTTGTACATTAAGCTAAACATGCTAATTTAATGAAGAAAGAGGAGAAGCATGACAAAATATGAGTTCTCAGCCACGTCAGAGGCTCTGTGAGGCTGTACTTTGACAAAAATGCTAGTTTTAGCATGGTAACACACACAATGTGACAATTCTAAGATGTTGGTGTTCAGAAGGTGTAATGTTTTCTATGTTCACTATGAGTTCACTTATCGTCCAAATAGTTGTTGAAATATTTCGCAAAATCACAGACACCATTGTCTCACTGCCACAAAAAAAAAAAATCAGGGCTTCATCAAAGTCTTTAGGATTCAAGTGACAAATGTTTCAGGCATTCCATTTTGGACAAAAGAAGCACGCTCTCTGACATCACCACCAGTTTTTACAGACTGTTAAGGAAAAAAAAGCAGCAAGGGGCATCTATAATTCTTGAACAGAAGAGAAGAAAAACATAAGAAAAAAGGAGTATATCTTATGATTGGTCCTTTTGTGTCAGCTAACATTGCTGTAATTCTTGGCTTCATCCCATGACAATGACAAATAATGTAGCCGGCAAAAACCAATCTAGCAACTAAAGGCCATAAACCCACGAGGGAGCAGCAGCAACTTTTGACATTACCGGGAGAGGACGTGGTGGACAGCTATTTTATTGACCACATTTCAAAAATGTTCAGTGTCACCATCCTGCTGTTGTGCAGTGAATTAGTCAGATCTCAGAAAAATGTCTCCTTTTAAAAGTTATGCTACTAAATATTACAGCATATATTGGATTCTTGTTATTTGTTTTGGTGCCTGAAAGTGTCTCTTCTTTGATTTTGTTGTACTAATATGTTTCTAAAAGTCCTTTGTTCATGTCTATAGTTATTTATCATTATCATATGAAAGCGGTGAAGCCAGGCAGCAAGCACTCAGTTTGCTGCACCTGGTGCAACGTGATTTGGAGGCCACCTCTGATTTTTGTATATTCCTCACATAGTTTGACAGACTTACAGGATGGCCTCAAATCAAATCCCCTTATGCAACTATTGAAAGCACAAGCTACAGCAACATGAAACAACTTAAATTCTCTCCTAAAGACAAGAAGAAGACTGGAAATGATCTAAGCCCCATCAGAGAAACAACGTTTGTCCAAAAAGAAGCAATGAGTTATGATTTTTTTACAGTACAGGGGGATTATGGAATAGCAGCACACATTATAGGATTATAATGATGCAATTAGAAAACAGCTAAATTTGGCCTACTTTTGATAAAAAATTCTGTTGGTTCACTGAAAGAGCATTTAAAGCATAATGAGATTACAAATTCTGACAGATTTTTGTACTCCTGCAAAGGCATAGACCGCAGATAATGTTGGTACATGTTCATTTGGCAATTAATATCATGTTGATTTTACAGGCAAGTTGATCAAAAGAGAACATAAAAGTAAATGTGACTAGTTGGTGATTTGATTGCATTACAAAACAGGCAAACACTGATCTAAAGTATTTCATATTCATCCATGCACTCTCTTCCAGGTGAGTTAGGGTGAGGTGAGCAGATTTATCAGCCTTAAAGCCTGAGCTCGCCCGTAGTGCAGACAGCCGAGTGCACAACCCCCTCAGCAGGATGCGATCATATTGTGATCGTGCAGGTAACAGAGGGATGAGGTGTGCTGACACGTTTCCTGCAGTCTCCATGGATCCAGTCACAGCAGTGAGACAAGAAGAGAGCAGCTCTCTCTTTTTAAAGACTAGTGTTAAGGACTAGCTACTGTAGCAACAAGGTTAGGAGGCCTCAGCCCATATATACAACGTTTATAACTCCACAGTCTTTTCTATGGAGCCTTGACAGATACCGGGTATTTGTTTTTGTGTACACAAGATAATGTTGTGAACACAGATTAATAACATTTCAATAAGGGAATTTGGGACTCTGCAGCTTTTCTAAAAATGAGAACATCTTTTTCATGACTTTATAGCTTGAAATTCTGAGGAACCTTTAGAACAGTATTTCAGGATTTAGCATGGTCTCCACAAAGCACCTAAAATACCAACAGTCCTGTATTTAATAGTGCTAAAACCAGAACAGCTTTATAGAATATAAGAACAAATGGAAAATAATAAAGGAAAGCCAATAAAACAAGAGTTAATCACAAACAATTAACAGCAGCAGAAAAAAACTTACAAATGTGCTGTTGCTCAATATGACTTCTGTCTCGTTCAAGACAAAGTTAAACTTGATGATGTGACCGTCCCGGTTCCTGTACACCACCTCTGAATCTGTGAGAGAAAACATGATCAGCAGAGGGTAAAAGGCACCAGCAGCTGTTCTTAGCCTCACTGTGATACACATAATGAGCAACTGCAAGGTATAAACACCAGCAGCTGTTCTTAGCCTCACTGTGCTACACATAAAGAGCAACTGCAAGGTATTAAAAGTGTCTTCACCTTACAGAACCAAAGGTCAAGTTAGCTGCATGTGTAAAACAAGAGTGAGTGGAACCTCAGTCCAGCTGCAACAGGTACACTGGAGGTTCACAGCCAGTCCATTACCCACTGCTCTGAATCTCAACACTCACAGCAGCATACAAATAGCTATGCTAGCTGGCATGTGAACACACACGCTGTGTTTTCCTGTAGACTTATCCTAACCTTAACCTCAACCACTACTTGCCTAACCCTAACACCTAACCTTAAACCATGTTGCCACCATAAAATTCAGTGATTTCCTTGGCCTAGTCCAAACAATGTGAGTGTGTTAACAGGTTTCAGTCCCCATAATGTAAGCAATACAAAGGCGCGCATACACACACACTGTGTCCTGGATATCTTAGCTCATCGCTGCACCATCCAGACCTGCTGTCAGATGAATTCACCTTATGTGTGAGATGTGCGATCCTGCAGCAGATGTCATGCTCATGTCAAACAAAAGCAGCATCTCCTGCAGAACTGCAAAGGCCTGCCATCTTAAAAATATGTCAGGACAGGAAAGGACAAGTGTGAAGGATAACATTTATGGTGCTGGGACACTTGATTAGAATGGAACAGTTTTAATGTTCATAGCAACACCTACTGTATGCTTTTCCTACTAAGACAAGTATCTGCAGGAACAAATGCCTCTGTCACTGAAATTTAGTTTCGCATATAGTTTGTGATTAAATGGCAGCAATTGGGAGAACTTGATCCTACCTTTACTGACACCTTCACAAAAAAAAACTCTTTCACTTGCAGAACATTTCGCTAAAAATGCTAAAAAGTTTCAAGTTGGTCCAGAACTGAATACAGTTGCTTGTGCTGCAAAAGTTTTGTCATACTTGGCTCCAGAGTATCTGTGTTTATTACACTTCTAGTTGACTTTACAGATTTTGCATGCCCTTTCATTTCAAGCTCCCTGTATGACTTCCTTCATTTTGTAATCCTTGAAGTCAGACTGCTCTGTTTCAACCTCTACATATCCTCATCAGATGGAAGCAGAAGCAGCTGAGCCTCCCTCCCTCTCCTCCTGATGGACTCCTGGAAATCATCTGAAGTGAATTTGTGGCTGATTGCAGGGGAGGCAATCACTCACTGCTCTTTGAGAACAGACAGCTTTCAGGGTGAATGTGTAATGCATAAAAAAGTAATCATTACGGGCTGATGGTGGGGGCATCAAATAAAAAGTATTAATCTATTAAAAAGTAGCAACATGTTCTGAAATGATTGTTTTTGGACAGTTTGTATGCTATGTTTTCCCTGTTTGGTGTGGTTGCAGCCTCATCCAACACCTCTGGGATGAAGTGCAATGCCAAATGCAACACCTCTGGGATGAAGTGCAATGCCGAATGCAAACTGGAGCTTCTCACCCAGCATCTGCACTGTACCTCACTAATGCTCTTTTGTGGCTAAATGCAAGCAAATCTCTGTATACACATGGATGTATTATTCAGATGTCCACATACTTTGGGCCATGTAGTGTATTTACAAAGATACCTTTATTTGTGGGAACCTCTGCGTATCAGTAATAGAAGATTTACAAAGAATCTGTTAGGATATATTACTGAAGACAGGATTCTACTTTTACTATTTTGCTACGTATCTGCACATGTAACTTTAACTTTATTGTCATTGTACATTGTACAACGAAATAAAAAAATGCAATCCTTCGATGATAAAAAATAATCATAAACAATAAAACCCAACAAATTTACACACTCACATCCATACACATCTATTGCACAGTTCCCGTAAAATCCCATCGATCATTCAAATTTTAAGGTTTTAGCA